CCCCAAAACCCCAAAACCCCAAAACCCCAAAATATATTCAATATATTGAAAATATTTTACTTAAAATCCTTTCTTTTGTCTGAACTGCTTTATCTTGTCTATTATTCGAAAATGATCAATATCTGTGAGTCTTACTTTGCTCCTAATATTGTTATTGATACTAGAGATTACTTTCTCTTAAACATGGCTCCTCCTTTCATCTTAATCGCATTTAATGATCCACCTAGATGTAGTTAGCTTGCTAACTAACTTCTTATGATATTGTTTTGCTTTATTTTTCTTTCTAAATAAGTCTGATTTTTCTTAATATTTCCCTTTGGCAAAAGAGTTATTCTCTCCTTCCTACCTCTTCTAAAACTTGTTGAAGAGTTTCTAGCAGGCAACTGTGTTGAAAGAGTGAATTCTCCTGACATAGTTCCGTTTCCTGAAAGTGTCTCTGAGCTATTTAATTGATGGACTATAGAATACATATTTTATTTTACAGCTTTTATTGTCTGAATAATCAGAAATCTTCTCGCTAAACTGGGTTTTTACTGGTTCATATGTCTCATGCAGAAATGTATCAATCAGTTTGACTTTGTTATCCAAACTCAGAGATGAATAACTTGGACCTAGGTCCTCTAGCTTGAATCTTGGATGGAAGTAGTCTAAATGTAAAAATCTATCAATAGAAAATATAGAAATGATAATTTCAAAAATCAACTAGCTCTAGAGACATACGCTTAGTTTCGGGAGCGATGCTTAGATCTTTCCTTGGGTTAAAAGGATTCTTGGTATGTTTCTCTAATACTTTTCTTAACCTTTCAATATGATTCTGAATACTTGCTTCTTTATTCTGATGATTCTTTGTAAACTCATTATTAATACTGTCCTTCGTCTTATTTTAAATATTTCTCTTTGAAAATATTCATCTCTTTTTGCTTAGCAACAAGATTTGCTATCTGAAGACGGAGGTAGCTGGTTTTGCTATCAAAAGAATTATTTGATATAATATTTTATTGTTTCAGAGTTCATCAACTCATTCCCGTTGTTAATAACTAAATTTTTGAAAGGATTTCTTCGCTCTCTCACCTGATCCATAGAGTTCCTTGCTTGTCTCTGATGGATCCTAGATTTAATTGAGCAGTATTTGGAGTGATTGATGGAAATAAGTTTTTTATGTTGAGACATATTGAATAATTCAATTTTAACAAATATATTCAACATGATAACTGTCCAAAGGGGTTTTGGGGTTTTGGGGTTTTGGGGTTTTGGGGTTTTGGGG